CGCTAAACTTAGATTATTTCTGGTAACACTATAAAATTTTAAATTGAGCCTTATAACCTCGCTTTCTATGCTGAAAAATTCTCTTTCACCCATTGGGTGCCACCACTGGATAAATATTAGATCTATCCATTATAGTGCTACTCTCGTCATAATCGGGCCTTCCTGTGGGGTCATAACCCTAACCAACCTACCGGCTCATCCACCCCAACGCCAAAACATTTCGTGTGCGTGGCGAAAGTAATTGGACTGTATTTAAATTTTCGTTCTTATGAAATAGGCTATCATAATCCAAGGTGCTTTTTTTTATTATATTATCTTCTTGCCCATCGGGCCCGCCTGTGGGGTCTTGCCCGACCAGTCTACCCGCTCATTCGACCAGCCTACCCGCTCATTAAATTTTCGTTATCATGAAACATGCTATCATGGTCCACGGTCCACGGTGCTTTTTTTTTGATATTACTATCTTCTTGCACATCGGGCCCGCCTGTGGGGTCTTGCCTAACCAGCCTACCCGCTCACTCATCCCATCGCCTAAACACTTCTTTTGCGTGGCGAAAGTAATAGGTTATAGATAAATTTTCGCGGGAAATGTAAAATGTAGTATTTAATGTTTGACCGTTTAACCTCTGAGCTATACTGATCGATGACCTTTACCATATTAATTTAAATACACTTGCCAAAAGCGCAACGGCTTTTGTTAGATTTGGAATTTGTGCACTATCTTTTGTGATATGCAACAAATCAACAGAAAACTAATTCAACCTTTTTAACCTCTTTTACTTTAGATAGATACCACCGTCTTTTATTTAGTCTTAGATAAAAGCCTACAACTACTTGTAGGAATCTTATTCAACCTTAGTCTTAATCTAATCTTAGTTTAGGTTACCCACTCTTAATCAACAACGAGTGTTATCCTAATTTTTTAACAAACGTAGATTCATAACCGACTATCCGAATAACTTTTCCTGTAGTTTATACGAGCTTAACAATGATGATGCTGATACAATTTTTAAAAGAAAGCATTGGAAGATAAGTTCTGGCTAAATTTTGCCTACTTCCGAAAAAAGTGAAAGAAGAAAATTTCTGCCAGCTATGGCATTTTCCAAGTAAACAGATGAACGAAATAACTTGTTTCTAAAAAACAGTATCAAAAATTTGAAACTAAGTTTACTTCAACACTAAAGCACAGTGGGAAAATCCAGCCCTAAGCCTTGTGCTTCCACGATTAGTCTCGTTTTTTTAGGATATAAAGATTTGATTTATCTGTTATTATGAACAGTTTTTTTGGTTTCAAATAATTAGCGTTTTGTCAAGGTAGAGTTTGAAGCGCATACGAAGTGCGAAAAAAAGCTTTTTGAAATTTTTTAGAACAAGGAATCCTATCATTTGAAAATTGAACAAATTCAGTTTATTTTCAATTGTTTAATTAATTGTACTTTCATCTTTGTTAAAATGCGTTAAAAGAATTTTTGAAGTTTCAAATTTCCAAAATGACATGTCTCTTATGTTTATGAATTGATTTTGTAATATACCATTTACTTTCTCATTTTAAGAAATATGGAAATGATGATCGTATCTCAGGTGGTGCAAGTTTTGATACTTTGTGATTTCAGTGTGTTGTGAATTTGGTCTTGACATAAATCAACACTTGCAGAACAGATACCACAAGACTGGTTACACTGAAAGCACGTTTGCAAATCAATGAGTAATCGTTGAGATGCCCTAAATCGTGGGGCAAAAAAACTAGCCTGCACAATACTTGAATTATATTGTTTAAGAGCAGTCGTAATAAGATTTACGCCAAATTAGGTACCACAACCAATTTCAGATGAGTTTGAGTGATGCATCATGTTAAAGTCTTTTTTATTTTTTATTCAAATGATAATTTTTTAACTTTCTTTATTCCGCCAGCAAGTTTTTGAAAAAACAGGTCAAAAATGCCGTTTGGGCACTTTTTTTGAAAAACTTTGACCAAAAAATTGCGTTTTTTGGCGCGTTTTCCTTCAAAATTAGCATATTGGCTTTTGAAAGTTTAAGGGTTATTTAGCTAAAAATGAATATCTCGAAGTACTACAAGAGGAGGACTCTTTGGGTCGTCGGCAGGGGGTCGAATACCTGAAAGCGGGCGTCCCGCTCCCCCTAAATTTGCGGTGTCCCACTCTTTAACCCTACGATATTTAACCCCCTCTGTTTACACCCCCTATATCATAACCCCGTAACATGATAACCCCACAACAATTTAACCCCCTTTTAATGACGATAATTTGTTTCAAATTAAGTCCTTTTTATAATTACAGGAGTAGTCCAATTAAGCTTACTAATTGAGGCCTGAAAAGCTAGTCTTAATTCACTTGATGCCTCTAGCATCTCAAAAGTAACTGCATTTCGATTAGTTAGAGAAATAATCCCTCACTCACGCGTTTAAAACAGAGATAACCTACATCGTGCTAATTGAAGGCAACAAAAGACGTTTGTGAGTTTTATAAAAAATCATACTGCCTATTTCTTTAACCATTGTTATACCACATTATCAGATTAGATATAAGGTTTGAAGCGTCATTCCATTTTACTTAATCTTCGAAAGATAAGCAAATGCTAGTGGTATCAGGCCACGAGTATTACCTTAAGCGAAAAAAACAAGACACATACAAATTGGAACTGCTCAAAGTACCAAACCCATAAATGCCGCGCAACAGCAATTACGGAAGGAGAAAATTTTATTGAAACGAGGGGTCAACAAAATCACGATATTTCCACGGGCAAACCTGATGCTCGACTAGTTTTGAAAAACATCAAGGAGCTAAGCGATAGTAACACCCCAACTGTCGCAGTCGCAACCGCCATTCAGCCAATTACAGACAACATTGCCACTCAACTAGCCCTACCATCCAAAGAAAATTTAGTTCGCACCGCACAACGAGCGCGCAAGCAACGAGAAGAAGTCTTACCAGTCTCCCCAGCAAACAGAAGTTTCGAAATACCCGAACTTTTCAAAAATTTTATAAGATTTGACAGTGGGCAAAATGATCACGAGAGGATTATTTTATTCGGTGACCCTGAAATGCTACGTGTGCTTGAAACATCCAACTTTTGGTTGGCTGATTGAACTTTTAAAGTCACCCCGAAAATGTTTTATCAACTTTACTCCATACACGTTAGTCTTTCAGGAATAGCGCCTGCTTGCATATATGCCTTCCTGCCTAATAAAACAGAAAAAACTTACCACCGTTTTTCAGAAGCCCTAAAAATACTAGTCCCTGATAGTAGACCTGAAAAAATTTTACTGGATTTTGAGCAGGCCGCTATTCAAGCGTTTCAGAAAAATTTTCCCGAGACCAAGCTGTCGGGATGTTTCTTCCATCTTTCACAAAGTTTTATGAGAAAAATCGGGGAGCTCGGATTGAAAAAGGATTACGAAACTAACCACGAGTTCGCTTTAGCACTCAAACTGTTACCCGCACTGGCTTTCGAAAAAGAAGAAGAAATAAGAAATTCATACGATAAAATAGTGGAGGAAATTCAAATAGTTTGCGATCGCACCATAAAAGAGTCGGAAAAATGGCGAAAGTTGACGAGCTTTGCCTTTATTTTGGATCTAACTACAAAAAAAGTCTCGTCCCGAGTCGGGAAGCCCTATTCCCCCTTCATTATGGAATCAAAGGGATGCGGCACCATCGGGTTTGGCCAGAACAACAAAAGCTGTAGAGGGCTGGCATTATGGCATACAGTCTTACTTCAGTGGATCGCATCCCAGTATATGGAAAGTGATTGCAAATTTGCAAAAAGACGCGTCCGTCCAAAAACTTAATTTCTATAACGCCTCGAGTGGGCACCAATTTACAAAAAAGAAAATATACCGGGTGCTCAACGAAAAAGTGCAGAATATTATGCATGTTTACGAAGAAAAAACTGATTTGCATTTCTTTCGCGCTATGGCGAACTTGAGTTAAATATTTGCTATTTAATCTATATTGCCAAAGTGTAACTGTTTTCCTTGATTTTTCAAAATTGAGCTAGAGTCGATTTGAAACCGGCAAAATAATAAATACATACAAGGTGTTGACTTTTCTTTTCCCTCCGCCCAACCCTGTAAGGTTAACCCATTTATTGTACCCTTGATATACCCGTTATCATTTTAACCCGAAATTCAGCTTTTTGGGAAAATTGGAAAAATTTTTGTGCCGCCAGGGATTCGATCCTTTGAACTCTAGATTTTGAGACTAACGCTTTAACCATTATAGCATGAGGCCTTTGTTTGTCATCCGAAAATTTCTTCCAACTTTGGCTCTTTGATCTTAATTAAGCCCATGTTTGAGTTTTCAAAGCGTAGATCAATTCTGTCGGCGCCAAAAGATCAAGGTCAAGAAATTCAAATGGTTTTGGACTGTTTTGTATATGCACCAATTTGAATCATGTCGGTCGGATTCGTTTTCAAGTTCATATCAAAGTCAAGACTATCGGCAAGGTCATTTCTGTTCAAGTCTAAAACGCATTTAGCAGCGTGCGTGTTAACTCATTTTATTTCGCAAAATTTTTCGCAATTAAAGCTTCGATGTTTACCGACGATATGGTTCCGAATCCTTTTCAAGTAACTTTCACTTTGATTCTAACAATTGGTTTTAAAAAGGGGTTAAATTGTAGTGGGGTTATCTGATTTGGGGGTTATATGAGAGGGGGTTAAGAAAAAGGGGGTTACAAAACACGGGGTGATAAAGCTTGGGAACCTAAATTTGCTACTGGTTTGGAGGTTACTTTTTTCTAAAATTTTTTTGTTCGTCAAAAAAGGACAAAATCTCGTTTTTATTAGAGCTTTGGTTTAAATTTTCAATCAAATAGAATATAATTTATAAATATATTTCTGTGATTTTTAGGGAAAATTGATGCGAGTTCAGGAGCAATTCAAGTAGTTTTTGATTGCTGGTAAAAAAAACTACCGCTCTTTCTTAGAGTTGCTTGTAATAGAGCCAGAGAAAACAATTTATTCAATCTTGGTTCTAGATTTATACCTAATATCAAGGACACCAGAGCAAAAGATTGTCCAACTTCGTCTGGTTTGGGCCTCGTCTTCGAGCACTCCACGTCTGCAATTTGCGCTGGACAAAAGAGTCTCTCTTGGAAATTTCTAATATTGCAGTTCTTATGTCGTGTTTCTCAAAACATGTCGCCAACCTGGACGCTTCATTGAATGGGAAAATAAGCCGAAGGTCTCCCAAAGCCGATGGCAACGCCTTTGATGTTCTCGACCGAGAAAAAATCCCAACTCTTGGTTTGTAGAATCCGGAGGCGTGGTAGCCGGCTGGTAATGATTTCGAACTGGTTAAACTGGCAGTTGCTTTGTACGCTACTGAAGAGTTATCGCCTCTCTTTCTGGACAAATTTTTCTTCTTGTTAATTTCTTCTTCTAGTTCTCCGAAAAATAGTTTTTCGACTAAGTAAACAGTATGCTGGAGCACTCCCAACTTGACGTATGCATCCAGGGGAGTGTCTGTGGTAAGAGCAGGACTGACGTTGACCTCTAGCAGCCAGGGCTTCATGTTTTTGTCGATGAGAATATCGAAGCCAAGAAGTTCGAAGCAGTTGTAGGCCTAAATTTTTTTTCGACATTATTTTGGAGCAATTTAAACAGACTCAAACAAGTATCTTTTAAATCTCATCTTTATCCCAATGTCGAACTACATTGAAGTAAGTTGAAACAAAGTGAAAAGTTGAAGTTGAAATTGATTTCAGGGAAAATAGTCGAAATCACTTATAAAATTAAAATCATAAGCCACAATTTCCTAACGAGTTTAAAAATTGAAACTATGCGTGCGATATGGCCGCCAATGGACTGTACCTGGGTGGGAATGTGGTCGGATAAGCCCAGCAGAGTGAGGGTGATGATGTTGGTGATCTTGTGCCATGTGAATGCGGGCAGTCTGTCCCCCTTGAACTCTGAGGTCACCTGACTCTCAAAGTAACTCTTTAGTTGACTCAGAGCCCAAATACAACCTACACAGTGAAGGTGTCAAAGCAAATTAGGCTGATTATCATTGATCAACGTTTTCTAATAAGGACTCTAAAAAAAGAGAAAACTGCGATCCATATGTAGCTTTCTTAACTTATAGGGTTTGTTTGTCAGCAATGATTGCCGGAATTATAATTTGCATTGAGAAAAAAGATACTGTTTGGATGGTCCATGGATGCTATGAACATTGCCATAGTACTAACAAAACTTGCTAGTCAAAAGTTCCGACCTCGGTTATTTTTGAAAAAAATATCCAAACGTTTTTTCCGATTTGAGTCACTTAATTTTTGCGTGTTGAAGAAAAAAATTTCAATTGAAAGTTTTAATTGATTGCTTTTAGTTTTGAGAAACTATTTACAAAATCATAAAAACACTATTTTTTTTAAGATAAATGTTTTTAGAGTTTTTGCAACCTTAAGTGTTCGAGAAGCAATGACCCATGCTCAAAGAACAAGTCTCCAGGGATAAAATTAAATGTTTTATGACTTAATTAAGAACATTTGGCGTTAGTAGCTCAATTATTATTCCGACTTTTTGAAGTGGGGGAATTTTGTTTTCGAGTGTGTTTTATTTTTTTTGTTTTCCATATAAAATGAGATATCGCCAATAATCATTGGAATGGGTCAAGTGATATATCATATTAAGGCCCTTTCAGTCGTAAAACTCTACCAAAATTTTCCAAGCGTTGAGAAAAACTGTTCTAAAATTTTCGAGCTTTAGTCCAATTTTGAGCAAGTAAAGCGATCGAGTAACGTTCATTCTACATAAATATTGGCCCTTCAGGTTAAAAACAATTTTTTGTTACCAAATTAAAATCCAGTTTTTGAAGTTTCATTAAGCGCGTTCTGGGACGCTACTTCTTAGATGATTTTACTTTCTTGTTTCTTACGAATGTGACGGTTTTCATGAGAGAAATTAAAAGCAAGCTTTTATTTTTTTCAGACTACTTTCCGAACTTTTCTTTAAAATTTTAATTGCCAAGAAATTGCTAGATGAAGCTTCAAAACTAAATTTATCACTTCAACACTTTTGCTTTTACACTAAAAAGTTTTTAAGGTTGTTCAAATTACGAGGGTTTATGATATATAAAAATTCATTCATGACGAAATTTTATGACAAAGTTTTTTCTCAATTGCAGTAGTCGGAACATCAAGAGTATCCGGTTGGTGGTCATTCAAATGATATATCGAAAAAATATTTAAAAACAAGCTAAAAAAATTGTTGAGTTTTTGTCAGGTTTGTGTCGTGTTTTGACTCGGTGTGTTGAGAAGAAAAAAGAAAAAATAGAACAATAGTTGCAAGTAAAAGTTGACTGAAGTTATCTTTACATTTGCGAGAGCACGTGTTTTGTAATTGGGAACGAGACTTACTTTCCATTAAAAACTTTTCTTACAAATCTGTTAAAACTGACCTTGCTCGTTTATTTTTTGACAGATATGTGTTTTTTTTTAATATATGAGCCAATTATTGTCAGCATAGTGATCTTTTTCATTTTATTCTAAGATTGTCATTTCAATTACTCTAAAATAGTTGATGTAGCTCTTCAACCAATGTATGAAAAGAAACTTGAAGATTTGCTTTTGTAGAAAATTTTGTTTGCCGACAACTGTTTAGCTCTCTGGTTTTCGACTGAATACTTTTCGGCTTGGTTTCACATAGAAAAGTTATAGCATTATATAAAAGTGTATGCTTAATCGAGGATGAACACAGGATAGAACAATTGATGATTGACACTGGGATAAAAAACACGCCATTTTTGTAAAACGGTTCAATAGGTAAAAACTTTATATCGCTGGCGAATCTGATAATTAGATTCCATTATCCAAATCAGAAGTCGATCACGTTTTTTGTGTTTTTAAAAATTTCGCTGTTCGATACTGGAGTTTGGCTTCGTTTTAACACAGAAAACGCACTGAACTTAAAAAAATCAAAAATCACACCGCGAAAAATTAAATTTGAGACTGAGCAAATTTTAAGTTTGTTCCTGAAAAAAGACAAAAAAAACATCACGACCTATATAAGAGTCTAAACTACGTTCCCGGAAACTACGGAAATGATTTTAAAAAAAAATATTCAACTTTCAAATTTCGATGAAAAATTATATGACCCTAAAGCTTTTTGGTTTTCAAAAACAATTTTTTGATGAAATTGACCCAGTTTGAAAAAACTGAATCCAGAAATATTTTTTTTATTCCGCTTGTAGAACCTAAATTTAAAATTTAATTTTCGAATTTAGAATATAATCACGTTTTTGGTGACATTTGCTGTTCGATTGATTGTGGAGTTTGTCTTTCTTTCAAAGAAAAAATGTGAACTTTAAAAAACATATACAAGTCAACCATAAAAATATCAAAATTTAGCGTGAACAAAGATCAAAATTTTAACCTACTAAGAAAAATCATCAAGATCTATTTAGGAGATTTGTCTAATTTTTGCTATTTATTGATTTTTTGAAACTTTCATTCTCACTTTATTGCTGAATAAAAATTTAAAAACTAACTGTCCTACGGTAAAACTGAATTTTCAAAGCATAAATAAAAAGTTTCCTTAGCACCTCAATTGTTTTGCTTCCTCAAAATTAGACAAAAAAGTTCACAACATTTTTCTGGACATTGGAAAACTTTTTGAAAGTTTTTGAATGCCCGTTGACTAACGACGTAATGTGGTTATTACTATTTTGCTTTCAAGTTTGTGTAGTTTTTTTGTGATTGGCGTGGCCTAAATGATTTAGACGAAAGCTTACAATGTTAATCAATTAGGCAAAACCGACTAAAGGTATCTTCGAAAAAATGAATAAACAAGCTAGAAAATCAGCAACAAAATTTAAAAATTATTTTTTTTTCTGGAAAAAATGTTTATTACTCAAGTTATCTGATATTGCGTGAAAAAAAGGAAAAAACAAAGTAAAACACACCTGAGGACAACGTTTCTTTTCAAGATTTCCAATTTCAGTGGCCACTAAATTATGAGGGCAACCAAAAATTGAGAGTAATCGTAAAGAAAATGAAGTCCCTAAGAGGGATGATAAACTAGCCTGGTCCTACGTGTTCCTTGGTCTTGGAGTAGGTGGGACTAGACTTGTTGATGCTGGTGTTGGTCAAGTGAGAGTACACATTGGTCAGATTGTCCATGCTGAACTTGTCAGTCGCAAACCTAACCAGCCCCTCCTGCAAAACAACACAACAATGTAACAGCTATATTCGGCCATCGTCAGGCAGTCAATTTTTTTTATAAAGATACCTTTAAAAAAGGCTCAAACTAAGATCCATTTAAGTGAGATAACCGCCTGAGAAACTTTTTCGCTCAAACTGTGATTTGTTTTACATCTTTTTTCGGCTACTATATTACTTACCCACTATATTAAATATTTGATGTTTTGATAGGTATTTTATCGTTTAGGTATTTAGTTTAACGTCATTGTTTGACAAAATAGGGTCTTTTTAGTGTTTTCGGAGAGCTCAGAAAATCAACTTGGTCGGAAATTTACCTTGTAAAGATAGACTGTGAGCGGGTGAAAACTAGCGATGACAACATAGAGTCTCAAATCGAACTTGTATCCCGAAATCAGCATCGGGTTCTCAATATATTTCTGAACCACAGTCGCCGAATCAAATCTCAGCTCGGCCAAGTCGTCTAGTATTTTAATGCCTTTTCCTTGCGAGTTTTGGGCTGGCTTTGTGATCCAAATTGGTTTTCGCTTCTTCGGATTCAATTTTATGTTTTCGGATCCCGACGTATCTTTTGCCGACTTTCCGTCCCCAGAAGCCGCGGAGCCGCCTCGAGATCCACCGGAAGCCGAACGTGCTTTAGCGCTGAATTTAGCCGAGCGACTCATTTGCTGTCGTATATATGATGTCCACCTGTCGTTTTCAATATACTGATCGATTAGCTTCGGGTAGTCGTTAGGCAAAATGTAAGTCCGCGGGAAGAAGTCAAATAGGCTTTGACCATAGACAGCTCGCATTCTAAATTTTGTGAGGATAGCTTTGAGTTTTTTCAATACTTTTCACAATAATGCCTGGTAACAAATTGCCTGGTGTTCTGCTCGAAAGTGTTCTTTCTGTACGCAAAAATTTACTCAATTGAGGATAAACTAAATTAAATGCGATTTAACCAAAAGTAGCAAACTGTGCTCTGTCTGAATTATAAAATGTCTCATTCTGTACAACAACGTTAGAAGCGTACAATTTTTGCATCAAATCAGAAGCAGTTTCAGAAGTTCTCACTGCAACCTGAAAATCACGTCATCTTCATCTTCATTCTTTGGATACAATTTTTACCTTATTTTGAATGTTTATGTTTGTTTCTGAACCTCAATTCAACCAGATTTGCTTGTATTTTTAAGAAACCTTTTGAATGACTAACTGGGCAACATTTTATAAATTATTAATTAGGACAATTAGTAAACCTTTTGAGGTTCCTGGCGAGACAGTCCTTCTGGGCGATGTTGAATGTCTTTGGGAAGTGGTTGATGACCTGCCAGGAGAGGAGGAAGTCATAGTCACTCCCACTGAACTTGGCCGCCTTCCAGTACAGGTGCCACAGGTCCTTCCCCTCCCCCTCCACAGACCCAGCCCCTGTAGCCCCACTCACATGTTCGACCCAACCTCGTTCCAATAGAATTCTGGAAGGCAGAAACAGAAATATTGTACTTTGATGTCCATTTCCACAATAATGTCCATTTCCAAAATTAAATTTCAATCAAAATGGAGCATAATATCAACAAGACTGCACGTATCAGGGCAAAGCTCTGAATGTTCGGACGGCCAATTTGATGGTCTCAAATAATTAATGGTAAATTAACTCTTGGCAAATCTTTTAATTTTAGGCTGATCACATTGAAATTTAAGTGTTACAATTTGAGTCGTGTATGCAATTAATAAAAACCAATTAGCTGCCTCAATTCATTTTGGAACGATTTTTGTTGTGCAGACCAGTCGTTAAGCAAGTAATTTATAAAAATTTATTGAAACAGGCTTGGAAGATTAATATATTGGTATGCACACCCGGCTGGGCCCATGCAGATCAAAAGATTCGTCCCCAGAGGGACTACAGTTTGTAAAATTGGTCTAAATTAAAAAAAAACACCAGGAGCATTAATATTCCTCAGTTTCTTCGAAAGCCGGAACAGCAAGACTGCTCAACTGCATTTTGAAGTCCAAGGAGCAGTGTTTGTTTTAAAAAAGATGATGATTTTTGGGGAAAAAAAATTGAAAATATTTAAAATTTTTTTTTTAAATCGTCCCCAACACGCTCCCTTAAAACAAAGTGGTATATTTTGCGTATAGCAAATTAATTATGACCATTTAGGATGCCTCAACTTAATTTGAACAACTTCTAAGACGGTTTAATCTCCGCTTACGCGTTAGTTATTACCAGGCAAAATATCGCGCGTTAATTGTCCCAAATTGGTCAAATTGTCAAATTGGCAAAAGTGATCACATTTGATTTTTTTAAAAATGAGCTCATGACAACAGTACTTTCTGGATTGAATAAAAAAGTTCCATGAAAAATGGTTAGGTAAAAATTCAATTTTCTTTTGAGAAAGAAAGTCGTCAATTTCTTTAAAAGTCGTAAGACAAAAATTTTTCTCGAGTATTTCAATAAAATTCAGGTTGTTCACTGGTGAATGCAGTGCTGACTTAAATTATCAGAAAAAAGAACAAAATTGAAAAGTTTAAACTTGTTTTATTTTAACTTGGGTTAACATTAGACAAAAAATGTGCACAAAGATTTAGATTTTTATCAGAAATAGTATACTGTATTTTTTTTTAAATGGGACTTTTAACCTAAAAAGGTTTAATTTGACTCTTTTTATTAGTCAAATAAAAATTAAACCAAAAACGTTTTTTCAATTGCTGTTGAAATTATATCATAAAGAGCTTTTTATGGGGTTCTATTATACCTATGTCGGGTCTTATCTCCAAAATTTGCAGCAAAGTGTTTAAAAATTGTTTTCAAAATTAAGTTTGATATGTTATACGGACAAAAAAGACAATTATTGATTCTATTTAATTATACTAAGTTGAGAATACTGTAACCTTTTTGAACTTTGTTGGGCCACATAAAGCTCACGATGATATAGTTTTATCAGTAATCAAACTGCGAGTTTGCTGTAAATTTTGATTAAAAAACCAAAAAAGAACATTTTTGGGGCAATCTCTTGGGCCCGAATTCTTAAGAATAAATTGCGTCATATCACTTCGGCTAAATTGTAGTAACTTTTGTTTTCATCATTTTTTGTCTAAAATTAACCCAATTTGAGGAAAACGTTGTAATTTAAAACGGCATTGTACAATAAGTAGTTTATGTAATTGTTTTTTGACAATTCCAAGCTTATTTTTTCGACGTTCGAAGTAAGTAAGGAATATTTTATAAACGCGTGGCAAATTAAACGCTCTAAAAAATTGTTCAAACTGAATTGAGGCTCAGCTAATCGTTTGATTAATTCCAAATACTAGCCAAGTTTTAATACTTAAAAATTGATATTATCAGCCTTAATTTCTTAGTTATAACAAGCAGTTTTGTTTTGTAAATTTTTACTTTAAAAATTGATTTTTGTTGCTAGTTTCATAGAAGTGATCAAAACAAGTTGAAAATTAATTGACAACAAATATAGCTGGCTCACAGAATAGAATTTTGTTCCCCTCTGTACAATTTAAGCTTTTGTTCATCTAAATTGATGAGTGTAAACAAAGATATGTCATAAAAATGTTTGGCTTAATTTTAACTGAACTTTAGTGAGAGGCGAAGACATAGACAATTCATAACGGGTCTACGATTCTGGCGCTGACTCATAATTTTGACTTTTAAAATGCATGCGAGGATTTTATACTAAAACATACTAGGAAAAGTACTGGAATACTACTATAAATGTGACACACCTTCTGATACAGTTAGGCGCCAAATCATCCACTTTGAACACCAGCTTTTTCTGCTCTGTCCGGTGAGTCAGCAACCTACCACCTTCACTCTTAACAGATGGCCTTGACCTGTTCGACTTCAGCACCGATGATACCTTCACTTCTGGTTGTCGTTCCTCCGATACGGACACCCTTCGTCTGTTGCTTTGGTCGACTTTGTTGTTGCCGATGTTGTTGTTGTTGGTGTTGTTGTTGTTGCTTCTATCGCTCTTGTTGTTATTTTTACTTCGATTGGTGTCGTTTCTTGACTTTCGGTCACTTCCTGAGCGAGCGGATTCCCGAACCGAGTTAGCCCTGCTGCCGACAACAGCCAAATCTCGAGTGGGTTCTCGGACGGGCACAGTTGCCGAGCGCTTTACTCGGTTGACCATGATAGTTTGATGCAACTTCTACCGCTGTTGCCGGAAATTTTTAAGGAAAGTACTATATTAAGACTTAAAATCATGGTCTAACAACAACCAAACTTATATATGTTGCCAAATGGAGATTTCGTTTTATAATATCAATAAAGTTACCCAGAATTAACTATCCAACGAAAAGTAGAACACTTGATTAAAACATACTTTTTGTTATATTTAGGAATACTGTGTATTAAAACGATGTTCTCAATGGTCGCTCGCTGATCAGCAGATGATTTTTGCTTCAAAGCTAAAGCTAGTTTTGTAATTTTATGGCTTATTCCGATTAATCTCTAGTCCGGTAATTTATCTTCTCAAAGCATCAAATGAAGGATGAGAAAAAGATTGGGATGCATTTTGCAGGAGGTAGATGAAAGGATGCGAATAATAGGCTAGGCACCATAAAACTACCGGGCCCTGAAATTGTTCTTTGTCTTTTTACTACACACCTTTTTTTTGAAAGCCAGACACGAAGAGCACTTTTTTCACGGAAAAAGAAAATTTTGTCACAGTGAAAAGTACCTTTTCAGTCCAGATGGATCGCCAAATTTGACCGCTTAATATGCTGGGGGAAGACCTGAGACATGCATAAACGTGCGTTTCAGGGAGTTCGAAAAAAAGGTTTTCTCATTAGATATTACGAATGATTTCTACGCTTGTGTTGTTAAAATAGAACTTGGACAAAACTAATTATAAAGAAATTGTCTAACAAAATCACTGAAACATTTGATAGCTTTGTTTCATGACTGTTTAGGTTAAGCGCAGAATATGATTCTCTGCATTTACGCAGATTTTACGGCCATATTTTGGACGGCAAAGTTCAACTGCTCGAGTCCAGCCAGATCAAACAAAAAATTTCTGCTTCAGAAAACTAAATGGCAGATTTAAATGCTTATGCTCTTAGATGGTCTTCACGATTTAAAAAAATTTGCTAATTTTTGAGAATCGTTTGACTTTTCTGAATTTTTTGAGGATTAAGTTTTTCTACTTTTCGATCTACAGGCTTACAACTTTTTTTGATATTCAAACTTTGTCATCTGATTTTTTCAGCTACAGGAAAGAAAAATGGAGACTTCATTCTTGAAATATTTGAACTATGAAGTCATTTTATCATATCACAAAATTAATTTAAAAAATTTTATTTCGCCATATGATTTTTTTTTTCAGTTCAGTTTGATTCATCGAGCTTCTATATGAGAATATATTTTTAATAATAAACTGATAAACTGCATTTTCTGAAAAAGCACCTCGCAATTTTAACTTTCATACAGTTGTTTTTTATAGCCTGAATACTGATATACTAACTGTATCGCAAAGAATGCAAAGCCCAGTTTCGCATCCGTGCAGAAAAAGTTATGCTACCGAAAAAATGTATAAAAGTGTGTGACTATCAAAGCGAAAATAAGTAGGAAAAAAATCAACTGACCCCATAATTTCAGTAACATTTCTTTTTTCACATTTGAAAAAATATTCGTTTGGTCAAAATTGAATTTTTCATATACACAACAATTTAAACTGAAAAATTAGATAAAGTCTTATTGTAACTGATTGGTTGCGTTTTTTAAAGAAAATAAATTATCTTTCAGTGTTTTCAAATAGTCAGTTTTTGAAGCTTGATTACTGCCAAACTTTTTGGATAGCAAGTAATGCAAAACTCAGTTTCGCATCTGTATACAAAAAGTTATGTTACCGGTAAAAGTTTGAAGTTATCGTCTCAATACAAATAGTGAGTGCTTTTCAGAAGAAATTGTGGCTATCGAAACAAAAAAAATTTATGAAAAAATTGTAATGAAGACAAACAGCCCCAAAATTTCAGTAAAACCTGCGTTCACTTTTTTTGATATTTTTTGATCAAACCCCCCAAACTTTAGTAAAATTTGCGTTTACTTATTTTTTAAATACTTTTTCAACTCAACTAGTGGTTTTGAATAGTGTTTTTTAAAGCGTAAATATTAGCAAACATTTTGCAATGCAACTGATAGAAAGCTGGTGAATGGTGCCTCTCAAAGCAAAAAATAACAAATTACAAATGCTCTAGTTTTAATTAACTTTTTACAACTTGCTTCTATTTTGACTTTTTTCGATCAGAAATGAAATGGTTGTATTTACTTGGGAAAAAATTGAGACTTGTGAAAAAATTTGAAAATTAGGGAAAAAATCTAATGAAACTTAATTGAATGTTGTAACTATCATCTTAAATTTGCTCGCAGATATTTATCCACAATTTATTGGAAAGAAGTCAAAAAACCAAAAACTAGTCACAATTTTGAATCTAAGAATCATTTTTTTTAGGTTTTGTCAAAAAACTACTCTCCATATTTCAGAATTAATTGTGTCAGAACGCAACGAAAAATGAGCTACAAGTTCCAACTAACCCAAATTTTTTGTATCTTCTATTGTACTTGAATCTGAAAATGACTAATTTGTCTCATATGAATAAAAATTTTTAATTCAAAAAGAGATTAATTTATCTTTTTTATTTCAGTCAATAAATAAGTTTTTAATTTATGCTTGGATCAAAAAGTTTTTAGTTCATGCTTGTATATGAGTGCTTCCTTATAAAAAAACCATATTATAGTTCATGTAACTATTTGATAGGTTGATAGAACCACTGAGTAACCTCCTTCACTGAGTAACAAGTTGTGAACACAAGGGAAACTGCTTGAATGATGATAAAAGTTTTAGCAGCAACAAAATTCTGCAGTACATTGAAAATCTTTGTTACTTTTCTCAAACTTGCCATTTTTGAGTTTTATTTAACCATTTTTTGATTATCAAAACAATTGAATTGGTGAATTTTATCTAACGACAAATCAGAGACAGTAGAAACAACATTGTTTTTTTTTTTAACTTTCAGTTCTTTAGTTGCATTAGCGTTTTTCTCCAGTTTTACCATAAGTGACACAATGAAGCGCAATTTTGAGTTTTTACTCTAAAAAGCCCGTTTTCAATGTCTATTTTGGACAACCTTTCGTAATTAAGCAAAATTTTGATGTAGACCAGGAGCAAATAACCTCAGCTATTTACTTTTTTTTAAAACTTTCGTTGAAAGACTTGCCATTCAAGTCCTGATCTTAAAATACAAGATTCCTTATTCCGCAAGCTTTCTTAAAAAGCAGAGTAAGAAATTTTTCATGCAGCGTGAAATATTCTCATCAAACAATTCAAATTAAACAATTGAACAAAATTTGTTTTTTTAAAAAAAAGATTTTCACGTTTTTCGAAAAACATTGTTTGATATTTGCATAACTCAAATCACGCAGTTTAATATTTGTTTTCAGAGTTTTTGAAATCAATTATTCATAACTTTTTAGAGAGAAATTGTGATCATTTGCTCGTTGTCTACAAAAAAATTCGAAGTAAATTTTGTCAAAAAGTGTCATTGAAAATGGGCGTTTTGGAGAGTAAAATCTCAAATTTGCGCTTATTTTCATCCATTAGTGTACTTACCAGTTTGACGAAGAGAGCGCTTGGGTTTGCAATAATTAAGTCATCGGTCCGCAGCTAGCTAACTTTTGTGCAATAATTTAAATTATTGACATTAGTTTTTTGGAAAATGAATTTCATTACCTAATACATTGCTTAGAGTTGCAATACACGAGCAAAGTTTCAAGCGCGTTAGCTTGAGCCTATGCAATAGTGGCAGGATGCAATGTTGAACAGTTTTCTAAATTTTGTGACCATCTAAATTGATTTGTTTGCCAATGGAACCTCAATTGAGACCAGTCATGTAGCAAACTTTAGACTTTTTTCCATTATGTTCTTAACTTAGAAACAAAGGGCAATAACTCCACCACAGTACGATATTTCTATCATAGAAGCTTTATTTTGCTGCGGGTTAAAATTGCAAAAAGCCAAAACAAAGCACTTAATGGTAAGAAAATCTACTGGTTGAAAAGCTGGCGTATCGTTTGGGTTGCTTTGCTCAAATGCAGAACAAGCGTTAGCAGATAGGTGGTATATTTTCGTTTGTAGCCACTTTTAGATCTTACAAAATGGGATAATTAGCAAAATAGCGTGCAAACTTATTTTCTCTTTAAAAACCATTTTACTAGCATGAAACAGATGTGTGCTTTCTTTTTGAAAAATTCGAACAATATTTGAAACACAGGTGCAGTATTTGAAACAAAAGTGCACTATGTTTTATAGAAAACAAACTAAAAGTAGAAAATCTAAAAGTAGGAAATTGATGTGTGTTGTTCGATATTTTCACATGTGTTTCATCAACAGATAAGCAACAGTTTATATTGCAACTCGATATATACTCACATCTCGACACTCATTGTCTCAATTTGTTCACAAAATATTCTCAATGCAAAATGTAGCTGTTGCTTATCTACTACCTATTAGCTTATATTTGCCAGCGTATCTTTCAATAGTGCACTAAACAATATTGCACTCTTATTAGAGTTTCCGTATTGAAACAGAAGAAGAGAAAAAATTGGTTTATCTATAAATAAACACATACACACACACACACACCACACACACAGACACACTCACACACAGACACACACACACACATATATGTATATATTTATATATAAATATATATATATATATATATATATATATATATATATATATATATATATAAAAACATATATGTTCGTTTAGTTACAAGAGGCGTGGTGTTCGATCAAAAACATCCACATACCTTTTATGCATGCTTTCGCAACCTTGGTTTGAAGTTTTCTAACATGATTTTATTCAAAAAATTTTCAAGATTGAAAAAAAATCGGGATAATAAGGCAGTAAAACATGAGAAAAACAAAGCTAATACATGCTTTTACTGCATTTTTCATCATGAAATACAGTGTTATGACAGAGCTTGGAAGAGATGCATATGGACAAAAAAAAGATAGCTGCCTATTGAATAGTTTGCATACAAAAAAAATTATTTTTATGAGAGCTTAAATAATAAGTAATTAGTTTAACCATCAAGAATATTTATAAATTAAAAATGCCCAAAAGCGCAAGAAAAATATATTCAAATAAAGAGCTAATTTAATATTCACTATTTTCAGAATTGACTCTCAACCGAACATTAAATATTTGAACAGTCACCAAATTCTCTCAATCGCATCCGAAACCTTGTGGTTTTCAAAAACAGTATCTGCATGAAAAATTTCAGCACCAGATCATTCAATCTGCTCTTTGATCAAAAGAGACCGGAAATGTTTTTTCATTAATCTGATCACTGGGCGCCACGACAATTAAGAATAAAAAATATCTGTGAGCCAGTTATTACTTGAAACTTTTTTGAATATACAACGACAAACTGAGACATTCTGTTTTTTTTTTG